TGTAGTACCTCAGCAAGGAGCGGTGGCCCACTCTGGCACCTGCGGGGGGAGCCAGAAGGACACAGTAAGTAGATCAGTTTGCAAGGTGGGGCTCCAACCACAGCCTCCCAAAGTGAGGTGGCCTACTGCACCCCTTTCCGGGAAGAACAAAACAAAAATGTTACTCTGCATCCCCTAGCAAAGGATAAAGGGCAGGTACAGCCCCTTTTAATTGCTCTGGCTCCCCCACTTTGGGAAACGTGGCTCTAAAGCATGGGCTTCCCGCAGCAGGGGGGGAGCTGTGCCAGGCTGGCCAGCATTCTGCTGCCACCTGCTGACGAACGAGAAGACAGCAAGTAAGGCGGGTGATAAAGGAAGCCCAAAAGAGAGATTGACAACGAAAGGAGCAGCAAGTCTCTGAAGCTAAAAACTCAGCCTGGGGGATGCCGCCCTGCAGGAAGCGCAGTCCCAGAGCAGTGAGAGAGCGAAAGGCAGAGCCAAGCCCCAGACTTCCTGCACAGACAGGGGTAACGACCACATGCCCCCCTCCCCCCCTACTATGCGCTAAGATTCCCTTTGGGTTTTATAGGTCACCTGACCGCCAGACAAGTTTGGCTTAAAATATAACCCTCGCACATGAGTGATAAGCTTCCTCGAACAATGGACTGTGAGACCAAATGGTCAAGGATTCACCCCAAAGGAAAGACGAATGCAAGGAGGGCACGGAGAAGAGATGAGTGATAACAGCGCAGACAGGGCAACTCCAAAGGAAAGACGAATGCAAGGAGGGCACGGAGAAGAGATGAGTGATAACAGCGCAGACAGGGCAACTCGTGAGGACGTCCACAGGCGGGGAAACTGCCGCCAGGGGCTGCCTGGCTAACCTGCATTAACAGTTAGAGGGAAGCTAATTTGCTTCGAGGGTTGGCTCACCTAACACTCAATGCAATGTGGGGAGGGGCCTGGAGAGCCGGGCCTTGAACTTGTTTCCACACAAAGACAATGAACAGCTACAAGTGGTGCAGGTCCTTTGCTTCCATTACCTTCTGGGTTAGCCCCTCCCCTGCCCCCAGGACATGTGGTTACTGGGGAGATTTCGGGTGTGACACATGGAGGGCTGCTCCTGGCACCTACCTAATGGGCAGAGGCCACTGGCTCCCCATGCGACAATGCATAGGACATGTCCACGTGTCACAGGCCAGGGCTGAGGAACCTGGCTATAGAGCTTGCTGAATTCTGCACTCACCCTAGAACTAGAATTAAAAAGGATGGTTGCTGTGAGCTGACCTCCTTACAGCAGTAGCTCATCTGGAAGGAGCTGGTAAAACTAAGTCAATCATTCGTTCACAAACAATTGTCTAATTTTAACTGCCATGCCATTCTGATGTCTTTACAACATGTGATGGTCAGGGCTGTGGCCCGCAAGCCCACAGTCAAGTCATAAGTCAGTGGAGGTGGGGAAAGAGGCCCTGCACGGTTCAAGGAAGAAAATGGTGAGAGGAAGGCACTGATTTTAGCAAAAGCTTGCAAATGTCTGTAGCTAATGAGGACCTGAAGGAGTGAGAGATCTACTGGAGGAGCAACTTGAAGAGTCTGAAAGGTGGCTAGGGTGTTTCTTCCTCTGTGTACCTGCTCATTCTTCAGGGGTCAGGGCAGATGGGTAATAGGGCTGTCTTATGAAAATCTCATTGGGAAAATCTTACCCCAGCCGCCCTATAATCCTAACCCTGCCCATCTGCCCTCCAGGTTTCTTTCTATCTCCAAACTCTAAAGAACTTTTAAAAGGAATGTGGATGATTTGAGTCTCTTAGGGATGCTGCAACGGCCATTTTGAGGTGGTGCAAACTGATGTGGTCAGAATGCTTCAGGGAAGGGTTTGAGAGATGGAAACTTGGCCTTCAAGCAGGGACAGACTGACACGGAGGACATGCTGACAAGCAACAGCTTCACATTTTGATATGTTTGTGTAATGAGGTGTCTAAGATTCTGTTGAAATTCTTTTTAATTCACCCTTATTTATAAGGAAGCAAAGGCTGTCAGGTCAAAGAATAAGGACAAGATTATCACACACAGTTTAGGTGAGACCAGAAAATGGAAAAGCAGCTCCACATTTAAATGCAAAGGGAGAGGAGGAACTAGAGAAGAGAGCAAAGCCAGTGTGCGGACTCACATCGGGCAGCACCGGGTTCACCTCGGTGTCAGCCACCTTTCCACGCCCTCAGCGAGGAAGGAAGGAGGGAGGGTGACTGACCAGGGACCGGACCTGCCCCAAACCCACATGGCAGCAAGCTGCCTTCTTTGGACATGCGCACTCACCAGAAGGTAGGACCAGCTCCATGGTTTCGTCATCATACTCCAC